ATCCGCTCAGCTCTGATTGTTGTAGCCCTTTGGGGAGTGAACCAGGAGATGGAAGACTTTCTCTCTCTCTCTCTCTCTCTCTATATATATATATATATATAAAACTTTTTCAAATAAATAAATAAAATAAATCTTTTTTAAAAAAAATGTAGAAATTTTCTGTAGTTTCTGATTGGTAAAGAGTACAAACACATCAGTAATTTTCTATTGGTATTTATTTTTCTAACTTTGATCTGTTCTCTTTTCCACAACATTGAGTATTTGTGGAAAAAAGTCTAAGCTTGTGTCATCAGGTTAACATTTCTTTTCTTAGGAACATGTAAGTATTCAAAATAGCTAGCTGTCTTTCTTGTTTAAAAAAGTGTTGACTGAGTGGTTTGCACATGATTCTCAGGACACCCAGTGAGGTTTTATTCTCGTGGTAGAATGCTTAAAGGAGTTGAGCATTACTATGCTGTGCAGGAGTAGGTGCCATGTCACTGGGGCATGAGTCAACTGCAGAAAACCTCCTTGGCATTCATCCTAGAATTCTTTGAAAAGTCCATGTTTCTCTCTACTTTGAAGGAAATTGAAAGAAGGAAATGGAAAAGCTGGAAAACTGGAAGTTGGTGCTATTGGGACACATGGATGAAGCAAAATATTTTTTTTTTTTTCACTGTTAGATGAGCTTTTGTGGAAAGCTGTAGTCCCTCAGGGGAAGGATATCAGCTTGAGTAATTAACTCATGATTATGCAAAGATAATTTACCTAGCCTCTTTGTTTTTCTTCTTTCTTTTTTATTGCCTTGGGCTACTTCATTTCTTATTATCATCTTCCCTTTTTTAAGACCAGGGGTAGGGAAAATGGCAGACAATAAAAAGGAGCCTAATTTATTTTACCCATTTTACTTTCATTAACAGTTGTGTTGAGAGAAGCATTAAAACTGCCTATTTGGACAATAGTTTTATTTTCTCTTAAGGTTAGATATATAAGAATTCTGCAAGAGAGTTCCTCAGCACAGTTATTTCAGGGGTCATCTGGATTCAGTAAATCAAATCATACAATTGTAATCAGTCATAATTTGTGATAGTTTTTATAGCATTTAAAATCTTTTCTCATACATTCACATATGATCCTCCAGGATCTATTTGTTAAATATTGGATGAATGAATAGCAATTCTGTGAGATACATAGAGTTGGTATAAATCAAGACTTTGAAAATGAGAAAAACTGAGATTGGGTTTTAATTTGCTCTTGAAGACCATACAAAGTTATCTCCTTTTTCAGCCACAAGCCACTTAAGGAAGGGGAGGGTACTATTAAATGTAGTAGTCTCTGCAAATTTGATAAAAGATAGCCTTAACCTAGTACAGGAGGGCTTTTGTTTTTGTTATTCCAAGTGGGGCAAAAAGCTGACTATACACTTTGTTCTCTCTGATGGCAAGCTTCTAAGATCTCTCCAGCTTTTCATTCCACTCAATCAGCTCCTGTCAACATTCCTAAGTGCAGAGCCCTCCTACCTGAATGCCAGAATAAAGCCAAACTAGAAAACAGTGTTCTGAGGAGTCCATAAATATATAAGAAAGTAGTGTTACAGATTTTTTAACATCCAGTCCAGCTTTCTCCTTCCTATTAAATAGTACAGTTTACCTTTTATTCTAAAGTGCAGCCAAGGAAGGGCTTATTATGAATTTCCTTTAATTACAAAAGTCATTTTTGATTGAAAGAAGGAAATTAGTAGAATTTCAGCTCATCCAACAAATACTCACTGATCATTTATTGTGTGCTGCTTACTACTTGTGGTTCTGATAGTCGGCAGTGAAAAAAAAAAACAGTCAAAATCCTTTATCTTGCAGAGAGAATGTTATAGTGGGAGATAAATTATAAACTTAGTGAGTAAGTTTTCTATCATAAGGAAAGAAAGGGCAGGGAGAGCAGACTAGGGAGATTGGGAATGTGGAGGTGTATACCTGCTCTTGAACCAAGCTTTTTTGTCTTAGAGTATATAACAACAAAATGGCAAAAAGTTCATAGAAATGAAATTAAATGCAAGTTTGCTTTGGTGCAGAAAAGTTTCCATGCATACATAAAGGTCTCCAAAAAGTTCATGAAAAATTGGTATTATGAAAAACTATTCTTGGATTTTAAAATCTGACATGCTGTAATTACTTATTTATCATCTCCCCTTCCACATAGCCTTCAGCAGTATAAACTATGTGAGGGCATGTTTTTTGGTTTTTGTGGATTTTTTGGGCAATTATTTACTTGTTTTATTTGAAAGGCAGAGAAAGGGGGCTAGAGTTGGGGGTGGTGGTGGTGAGATAGGATTTTTGGTTTATCTGTTTTGTTCACTATTGAATTCCTAGAGAACAGAACTGTCTGGAATTGGTTGGAAGAGTTGAATGCATTTTACAGAGTGCTCAGGGTAAGGCCTCACTGTTGTCTGAATAGATTGTGACAACAGAGGGAGTGGTATGTCATGTGGATATCTTGATGAACATCTTCAGGCAGAAGGGCCAGTGTGGCAGAGTGAACCAAGGGAAAGGTATTGAGGGGCCAGACCATGCTGTGTCTGTGTTAACCACTGTAAGCAATCTGAGCTTGTAAGGACTAAGGAAGAAAAACTGTTACAGGGTTTGAAGGAGAAAGTGATGTCAGTCTGATTGCTGTTTTAGGAATAGACCAGTGGAAGGCAAAGCAGGGGTATGACAAGGCAGATCAAGCTATTATAAAAAAAAAAAAAAAAAAAAAAAAGAAAATCTATAGACAGGAAGTGATAGTGGCTAGGACTGGCTGAGAACAGTAGAGATGATGTGAAGTGGTCAGATTCTGGATTTGGAGATAAGACCAACAGGTTTTGAAAATGGACTGAATACTGGGGTGACAGGAGAAAAGGTCTTTAACTGGATCAATATTAAGGATGGAATTGAGTTGAAGAAGACTATAGGATAAACAGTTTGGAGAGGGAGGGATGGAATTCAGTTTGGTTGCAGATATCTAAGCAGAAATGTAAAGTATGTGGTATATTCCAGCCTAGAAATAGAAATTTGAAGTATAAGCATATGGATGATACTAAATGAGGTCATTTAGGTAACAAGTGTAGGAAAAGACAGGAGGATGGGCCTTTGGATATGTCAGATTGAGCTGTGAGATAAAAGCACAATCATTGAATAGTCTCTGAAAGCTAAGAGGTGACAAGATATTTAGTAGGAGGAAGTAATCATCCACATTCTTGCTAAGAGGTTAAGCAGTAAGGTGCAGATTGAAAATTAAGTACTGGTATAAGCAACTTGGAGAGGTGACTGATGGTTTGGGGAAATTGGTGGGAAGCAGAAGGTTGGAAACAAGCTCAAAAGAAAAGAAAATATGCATTGAGACAGAAAATGTAGATAACACTTTTGAGGACGTTTTCTGTAAAGAAGAGATTGGGACTATAACCAAAAGGGAATGTAGGGCCAAGATTTTTTTCAGATAGAAAAAATCTTTGTGTGTTTGCATGCTAATAGAAATGATCCATTTTGAGAGGGGCAAACTGATAATATAGAAGAGATGGGGACAATTTAGAGAGCAGTATTCCTGTGGAACGTGTTTATATTCAAAATTGAAGACAGGAATTAGAGTGTAAAATAATTAAGTAACCAATACATGATTACACTTCTTGGAGTATTTGCTAATCATTTATCATTTATCATGGGAGGATTTAGATGGAATTGATTTATATTGTTAATTAGTACCCAACCATTCAAAAACTAGGGTATCCTCTATAATAATGGTAGATGGGTCACCCCACTTTTCTAAATGTCACTTAGAAGTGACCAGTAGCATAACATTTTTTTGTAGTGATAAATTAAGACTGTCTTCTGTAATTTATAAATATATTTATTTATGAAATAATTTTCTAGTGATTTATGATTTTAAAAAGGAATTATTTACCTGAGGCAGAAAGAAGAACTGTTGGTTCTTTTTTTTAAAAAGTGAGTTTGAGGGCCGGCATTGTGGTGTAATGGGTAAAGCTGCTGCCTGCATCACCAGCATCCCATATGGGCACCAGTTTGAGTCCCAGCTGCTACACTTCTGATCCAGCTCCATGCTAATGTGCCTGGGAAAGCAGTAGGAAGATGGCCCAACTACTGGGTCCTTGCACCCACATAGGAGATTTGGAAGAAACTCCTGGCTCCTGGCTTCAGATTGGCACAGCTCCAGCCATTGTGGCCATTTGGGGTGTGAATCAGTGGATGGAAGCTCTTTCTGTCTCTGCCTCCCTGTCTCTGCAACTCTGGCTTTCAAATAAAATATATATATTTAAGTGAATTTGGGAGCTAGCATTGTGATACAGCAGATTAAGCCATGGTTTATGACATTGCTGTCCCATAACCCAGTGCTGGTTGAATTCTGGCTACTCTTCTTTCAGTTCAGCTCCTGCTAGTGCACCTGAGAAGACAGGAACATGGCCCAAGTTCTTGGGCCCTTGCCACCCATTTGGGAGACCAGGATGGAGTTTCTGGCTCCTGCTTTCAGCCTGGCTCAGACATGACTACATGACTGTTGTGGACTTTTGGAGAGTATAGAAGATTAATATTCTCTCTTTCTGTCTCTTTTATCTTTTCCCACCCTTCCACTCCCATTGCTTTTTCAAATAAATAAACCTTTTTTTAAGAGAGTTTTGGGGCAGGCATTTGGCACAGTGGTTAAGTCTACACTTGGGATGTACCCGCAGCCCATATCAAAGTGCCTGTTCTAGTCCTTGCTTTTCTCCATTTGTTATCCAGCTTCCTACAAATGTGCATCCTAGGAGTCAGTACTTGCAATCTGCATCAGAGACCCAGATTGACTTTGGCTCTTGTGGGCATTTGGGGAGTGAACCAGTAGATGGAATATGTTTCTTTCAAATAAAATGAAAATTAAAATTTTTAAATTAAAAATAAATTTAATACAGGTATTTTCCCCCACTCGTCTGTAAGATGTAGTCTGTTACTGGTTTGTTTGATTTTCTAATTTTTTTTTCTTTTTTAACTTTTCAGGTTGGAGTGAGACAGCTTTATGTACAGATTGACTTTGCAGCCATGTAATGAATGAAATTATTTTACACTTTTCTTTTGGACCAAATTTTTCTGGTACTGTACAATTTAAAACATTGTACCCAGCTTCTTAAAATAGAGAAAGCATCACTACAGCTCCCCAGCACCAAGTAGACCAGGTAGTATCAGCTGTTCATGTTCTACAGGGAGTTCACAGCTAAGGGATGACAAGTAAGAGGATATTTCCCGGACTTTTGGTCTTGTCTTTTGTGCCCTCCCATTGTAAACCATTTTGATTTCTGCTTTTGTTCCAGAGTGTTGGTTTTTGTGTCAGTGGTTTTTTTCTTTCTTTTTTTTTTTTAATTCCTTCCTTGCTTTCCCTTTTTTTTTAAATTTTTCTGCTGTTTTGTTTCATGTTGAATATCTTCATCCCCATTCCCTCACCCCAGTCAGTAAGAAATTCAGATTGTGGGCCTCCAATCATCTGGAATGTCTTTACTGAAGCTGCTGGAAACCACTGCTTTCATTCCCACAAAACCAGTGTTAGTAGAAAAAAAAAAACAAAAGAAAAAAAAGAAATGTTTTGTATGTAATGTCACAGTTGTTGACGTTCTTCAGTATAATCATATGTTTGTAAAATTGTTTGTTCCTCGCAAACTTATGAACCAAACCATATTGGGTTTTCAAAGTGCCTTTGTATCACAAAATGTTTGCCAGCATATAATTGTACCATCAAAGGTCACGTATCTTTTTTTTTAATGGACATTCTGTAATCTTTACAAAGTAAGACTCTTGTTAGCAATGTATACAGATTATCTTTTGTGTACTTCCAACATAGGCTTAGATATATGAAAAGTTTCCTTTTTGTTTTATCTCATCAAAAAATAAAAGGTTTTATTTTGCTTTTTAAACCAACTCAATTATCATATTAAATTGCTTTGTGGACTATGTTTGCAAAACTTTGCAAATACATCTGTTATACAGAAAGTTGTTTTGACGCAAAGCAGCTGCTAAATTCCAAATTTCTGTAAAAACTACTGTGTGTATGACAAACTTTCCTATATCTCTCCTTGCCATTTTTATGTATTTTATTCATGAAAAGAAAAAGCAATGTACACTAAAGGAAGAAATAGCTGTGATAGTGTTCTTTTGCTTTTTCATTCTTCAGATGCCAAGTTACATGACTTGCTTTCCTGTTTAAGCTTTGCACAAATACAATTGCTTTCAGGAATCCTATAGCAGCATTTGATTGAGTTTAAACTCTTAAAGGTACGGAGCCAATGTGGTGATGTAGAAAACTCTTCCTAACATAGGTATCTTAGAAGTCAATAATAAATAAGTTTATTTTCTAGGTTCTTGTGTATTTGAGAAATAAAAATACAATTTGAGATGACAAGTGCTTGAACACTCTATTTAAGTATTCTGTGTTTTTATGAAGAAATATTGATCTGGATAAACATTTTTCCATTGTACTTCTTTTTATCACAATGTATATTCCCTTTTAACTTTAAAAAAAATTGAAATTGTTGGGGGAAAAAAACACTGCAGGGTGGAAATGATTGTTAATAGTATAAATCAATAATAAGCACTTTTTTATTGCAGTGGCAGGAATCACAGCTGATTTTGTCACTCTTGAAGTTATTCTTTCCCCTGTTGTGGCCCACAGCATATGACTGAATAGTAAAATTGGACCATTTTCTTCATGCTTTTCTAAACTGCTGCAGATTGCCAAGAACTGTCTTTTGGTCAAAAATCTTTTTACAGATAAAGTAGTAGTTTTCAAAACATGTTTGCTTACTGCCTGGCAGTTCTAGAAGTAGGAATTCCTACAGTAGGGTATATCTGACTGAAACAATTGTTGAAATCTTTTAGGATGAAAAACACTAAAAGAAATGTCCTGATAAAGGTACTGCTTTTTCTGGAAGTTTGCAATGCCACCAACAAAGTCCAAAAAACAAGAATTTCCTTGGGTTTGGCATATTCTAGAAAATGATAGACCTAAATGAAGGCAGCAATTTTGGATATGTGCCTTTAAAGCTAATTACATGTATAACAGTATTGATATTTCATGTAGGGAGATAACTGTACTGGTCTGTAATTTTTACCAGTATATCATCTGAAGATCTAATTCTCCCTTTAACTGAGCCTTTCATTCTGAGTTTTTGTCAAAATGAATATACCCACTCTATTTGTGCTCTTAATAGAGCAATGCATGAGTATTTTTTTCTGATAAGGCATAGAGTATATAGCATGTTAAACTCATATGAAACCAATTTGCACTTGTTCCAAGAGGTTGCCAAGTTATGATAATTTCATAGGTTCACATGAACATTTATGCTTTAATTAAATGCCTATATGTGCAGCCCAAAAAATTCAAGATGAAGGGCTTAATATATGCATAACTGTCTCATTTTGCTGATTACCTGCTCATTTTTGTAAAGGACAGTATCTATTTTACCTGTAGGGCATTGTTCATCATGCTTTCATCATACCATTTTTCTGCAGTGGAGGTATAAGGAAAGGGGGGTAACATATGTCATTGGCATCATGATATCCCTTGTATCTAGAAGGTTTCAGCATTCTTCAAAGCCTACACATATTTATTTATCTGTAACCAAAGTACTGTGACTTTTGTGTACCTTTGTAAAGCAGCCAAATCATTAACTCAAAATGCAGCTGATAAGAGTTCTGTAATGTTTTTATCCACCATACAATAATCAGTTTTTACAAATACTATTCATTTGGTAGTATCCTGTTATATAATGTTGGAATTTAAGTAGAATTTTACATCTAAGCAAGGACTGTTGTTAGAAGCGATCTAGTTCTACCTCTGATTTTTCAGATGAGAAAAGTGAAGCACAGAGATCTGTCATTTATTCAAGATCATAGAGATAATTAGTGGCAAAGCCAACACTAGAATTCAGACCTTCTGACTCCAAGTCGAGAGTGCTATATTGTACTGTCCCTTAGTGTAAAATCTGCCTTTCTAGAGATTATGTGATTAAATGCCATTTGCAAAAAGGGATATCTGACCTCCACTTTTGATACATTAAGGCACTTTATAAATAGTGTTTGTCATTTTTTAGTATATAATTATGAGGCTTAGAATATTATTTCCATAGTATTCTTCACTCTGATTAATTTTTCTACTTTTTACTTTTTCACTCATGTGAAACCTATCCTTTTAAAAAAAGATGACATCTACTCAATGGATACCTCTAATTTGTAAGTGAACCTTTTTGTTAAATGCTGGAGGCTAAATCCAATTCAAGAGTTGCTTAGTTTTTAAATTTTGTTTATATTAACTTTGTATTTTTTTTTAAAACTGGCTAATTCAGGGGTCATATCATTTCAGTCTTGCCACTTTGCTTTTTATTCAATTGTCAGCTTTTTGTATTTTAAAAACTCTGATAGTCATGCAGAATTGTGCATTAAATATTGTACAGAACAAATCTTGTCAGTGGGGTAAAATTCTAAAGTCTTATCAGAATTCCAAATGCTAACCTACTACTTCCAATTTATCATTAAAGCCTGGTCTTAGGAAAAGTTAAACATTTTTTTTCCATTTTACAGAAGTCATCATCTTTGAAAAAAGTTATTTTAATGCACAAGATGATGATTTAAAAAAATAAAAACAGGAAATTTATTCTGTGTAAAACATTCAGAGCTTATTTCAATACATGATCCCCAAAGGCTTACTGACTCAGATCTCTATCATAGAATCAAGACAGACTCAAATGCAATGAAAAATTCTGTATTAAAGAGTATTTACAGAAAAGGAGCAGAGGAGTATACTTCTTAAAAGTCAAAGGATAGGAATCTTTTTTGACAAAAGTATCTTTATTTTATATTTAACCACTTCCTAATCTGCAAATTATACAGAAAACAAGGATATGGAATCACCTTTATTCATACTTATGTGCCAGACATTTAGTAGGGCCTTTCTCATGTTATTTCATTTATTTTCCACATTTCTATAAAGAAATAATCTTGCATTATTTAATTATGACTGACCAAGCACTGTCAAATATACGTTCTCGCTTCTAATTCTCATAATATCCCCATTTTATAGATGATGAAGCTGTTTTGAGAGAATATACATGACTTGCCTGGGGAAGTGCCAGTACTTTCTCTGACAACTATTTTTTATGTATGTTTTTAAAATTCAAGAAACTGTAACACATCTAAATAGACACCTAAAAATCCAGTGAACACTGATTTTTGACAGAACTGATATTGGGAACACTTACTCTACATTGTTTAGACTGAATCCTTCTTTCAGTGTTCTGTTGTGCTTATTCCTAACTTTGGCATTGGTCTAAAACTGCTGGATAAAAAAATACTTCAGAACTATGTTAAGTACTTTTATTAAGACCACTAGAAAAAAAAATCAGGCCTTTTATTGGCACTCAGAGTAAGCTGCTTAAGGAAGTGACACAGAGGCTAAGGCCCTCTGTGCCAGTATGAGCAGAAAAACAACTCTCACAAGAGACCTTACCTCAGTTTATTAGGGACCTGTTTTTTCCCAAGAGTTTTGCACTGCAGGAGAGGGATGAGTAGGCTTTGAACATCACATTTCATACATACCTTTTCAAAAGGAAGAAATGTGTTTCAGATAGTATAACTGATGCTTAAAATTAATGTTTAACTTTGAACTCCTGCCACAGCTTTGAAAATTTAATATTTGTAATTTTGGTCATGGTGTGGAAAGTTTCTAAATGATCTTTGTCTTGTACATCTCATTATCCCCACAGTTAGCATAGATTTACAGTTACATACTCAGTAAGTGCTTGGTTAGCTAGTGAATAAATATTATAGACAGTAGTAGATATAAAAGTTAAGGGTTAGGGACAGGTGAAACCTGTAGCTGAGGACATCTCAGCAACTATTTGGCGTTTTTTGCACAAGCATATCAGTTTATATTCACTTTGGCTGTTCTTTTTTCCCAGTAGCCCTGTGAGCTGCTAACTGTTTTTACTACACAAACAGTGAAGTTCAGAGATGTTATGCATTTTGCATAGTGCTGGATAGGAATTTGGCAGAACAGGGACGGTAGAACCTGGGCCACTTGAATTTTTATATTTGTGTAGCCAAACCAGGAACCACACTGTCTACTTGGTTCTTTTGTAAAACTGCAATATTTCCACTACTTATCCTGTAGAGGTCTTCTATTTCATTTGTCTCTAATGTGTTGTCATCAGATTTCCTTCAGAGGTAATTTTTTGAAGGTGCTTCTATAAAAACAGTAAAACATGAGTTCATTAAGTGATTCAAATATTCCTACAATGTTTACTTTTTTCCTTTTCCCTTCTATAAATTTTAGCAGCTTTATATTTTTTCAATTATTTTTATTTGCATTGTTGCTTTCACTCTAGAGTTCCCACCTTTTACCAGTAAAAAATAGATGTTTTAAATTTTAAATTTGAATCTGATGCATCATATAATGTACATCAGTTCATCTCAGTGCAGATTCTATCCTGAGCTAGATACATCCTGTCAATAGTCTGCCATACAATTCCATTGTTTTCCCTGTTAGCCACAAACTCAGAGATACATTTTCCCAAGTGGTATTTTCCCCCAACTTTTGTGAGTGGATAAGTGAACAAAA